GCTTCACCCTTTAAGAGCTGTCGCTGATGGGTTTTATCCCGTTATGCGAAGCATCACACTGAAAAATTTAGTCCACGCCCATCTGCTGTGTGGGCCCCACCTGGTCCGTATAAATTACGTTAAGAGCGGGTAATCGGCTCCCATTTTTCTTCAGCGAGCTAATAGCACTGTCAGAAGAAAGAAGAAGGAAAGTTGTGTAGATGACCAACCTCTGTTAAGACTGCTTGGCCCGTCACGTTGACCTCCAGTCATCCCGGTGAGCTCTCCTCCCCGAGGAGAAGCTGATGAGCAGTCTTGTTTCAAGGTAAGCACCGACGAGTATATCTCAGTGATAGATCGCTACACGCTGGACAACGCCATATTGTAATTTTCCTCTTATTGCCGACCTCTGAGCGAATCTGATGGTTCCTCCTGGACAGGTGACGTCAGCAGCAGCCCCCGCTGCTCAATCCCTCCTGGAGAGCGTAGTGTCGGTGGAGGGGGGCTGAGCGAATGCTCACCTCATCCCACCTTGTTTCGCATCGGAGATCACACCGCTCCCAGCCGACGGCACCCTCTGGAGATTGCCCGGCGTAACCCAGGAGGCGGCTGACATGACGGGACGTTTTTTACATCCCGCGCATTCTCCGCCAATTCGGATGAACCAGCGGGAAGGTTTTCTGGGCTTCATTCCGGCTCGCCGTCCTGATCCCATCTGGCGTCGGTTTCCCAGCAGGATGTCCTACGAGGACGAGGCCACAGCCGGTTCCTGGTAGATTGAGGCACCGGTTCCCCCAGTCCATGCCCATCACCAGAGCAGAGGGGTTTTCACCGAGCAGAAATTCCCTCAGTGCCCCCCTAATCCAGACGGTGACACCGCTCTCCAACCGAGCTCACCAGCATGCGTTCCAGACGGCCGTAGCGAACAACATGTTACGCTGTTGGCGTACACGTTCAGAGGCGGGAGGAGACGTACGCTCCTTCTGCAGGGCAGCTGACGTCATCCTCAACGCCTCTTTTGCTGTCTGCCAGCCCGCATCGCAGCCCGAGGACGGAGTTTTCAGCGTTTCTTTGAGACCGCCAACAGATGGCGCCCTGGGACAACAAATTGCAGAGCAAATGACGGTTTTTGCGGAGGACGTGTGTGAAGGTGATACGAGTTTGGATTAAGACATCATTTAAAGATGAAAGTGTCTATTTTTAGCCAGTCTGTCAGCTCGGATGACCTGACAGCGGCTCCATCACACATCCTCCACACGAAATGAGCCGGTGGCAACGACGTTCCACGGCCGTCTCGATGAGCTTCACCACCAGCCCCGCCCGTCAGAGACTGGCCCTATTCATCCCGGCAACCGAGTGTCCAACGAATTGCCAGAGATCCCAAACAGACGGCGCACTGGGCCAACAAATCCCAGACCTCACGAGGGAAAAGATTCAAAAATGACGGTCTGCAAAAGTTGTGTGTAAAGATGACACAAATGTTGAAATAAAACATCATTCAATGATTAACGTGTCTGTTCTTAGACAGTCTGTAAGTTCGGATGAACTCACAGCGGTTGCACACACATCCTCCACATGAAGCGAGCTGGTGTCCTTAAATAAAGTGTTTTTTAAATCACCTTTGCTCTAAAACGAGACGAGATGTTCGCACGACACAACGATGGTAAGCGAAATACCTCGTTTTCAGCCTGAAATGCACAATCTTCACCCGAGCGGGGCCAAACGCGCACTCATGCGACGCGAACAGCCGTCACCCTAAGTGCGCCGCGTTGATGAAGGTGCACACACAGTTCCCCAGCGTTCACCGTCTCAAATCGGCATTAATGTGAGAGTGCAGGACTGGTCTGGTGAGGGACCTCGCTTCCAGCGCTGCACCGAAGCAAGTGCGTGCCTCCACAGCGCGGACAGCCTTCACTCACCGCTTCTCAGCGCCCGGCCGCTCACGTCAGCACAAGCATGAGACAGCTGAACGAACCCAGTGATGAACTTTGTTCCCAGCGAGAGCGACGCGTGTCCCACCAAGGAAAATGCGTGCTCCCACGGGGCTCGCAGCCTTCACTCAAACGGCACGGCGTGGATGAAGTTGCGCTCACCGCTCCTCAGCGACCGCCCACTCATGTCAGCATAGACGCGAGACCGCAAAGCGAGCCCAGCGCAGGATCCCCCGCTCGCGGCAGGAGCGACACGTGCTTCACCGCAGTGGCGTAGAAACGCGCACCCCCGCGGCGTCATCAGTTGTCACACGCCTCTCCTCAACACACGCCGGTTTACTTCGAAATGAAGGTGGACCCGCAGTCCGAACGCAGCACACAGGTACGTTCAGACCCTTTTTCGAGGAAGCCTAGCCCTGGGTCACGCGGATCACACTCCCGCGGCGCATGAAGGCTGTCGAGGCGATGGACTGAATGACATCCATACACGTTGCAATTTTCAACCCGACCACCCCCGTACGGAGGAATTTTAGAGACGGTCCTGTCATCACCAGACCAAATCTCATTCCTGAATGCAGAAGTCCAAGAACTTCTGGTTAAAGAGGTGATCTCCAGGGTTCCCTACGGAGAAGTAAACACAGGGTTTTACTCTCATTACTTCCTGGTTCCCAAGCGGACCGGAGAAGTGAGAACCATTTTGGATTTGTCAGCTTTCACATGTTGACACCAAACATCTGTTGGACAACATCCAGAGAAATGACTGGTTTGCCTTCCATCGACCTGAAGACGCCTACTTCCACATACCGGTCATTCCAAAACAGAAAATTTCTGCGCTTCTCTTTTCAAAGGATGAAGCATCAGTATAACAGGTTGCCGCTCGAATATTCCCTCGCGCCTCGACGTTCTCAAGTATGTGGAAACGGCCCTGCAACCGTTACACAGAGCAGGGATGTGAGTTTTGTTTTTACCTGGACGACCTGCTGCCGCTGTCACGTTCCAGATAGGAAGCAGCGATGCAGGCTCAGGTGTTGACATCACACCTGTTAAATCTGGGCTTCGCCATAAATTGGAAGAAGAGCTCGATTCTCCCGGCCCATACGATTGTGTATCTGGGAGTGGAATTAAACTCAACCACTATGTGGGCTCGTTTATCACAAACGAGAATCGACACTTTAAAAGACCAGCTCTGTCACGTGAGACCTGGCAGAGTGGTGACAGCTGTTTTCAGTCATGAAGCTGTTAGGAATGATGTCATCAGCTCACACAGTGGTTCCGCTGGATTTTTACACGAGACGCCTCCAGAGGTGGTTTGCGCGCCTGCGTGTGGATCCAGTAAAACAAAAGAGACGGATGATCATTGTTCTTCCCTCTGTGAGAGCAGACCTCCGACACTGGGGAAACACCCTGGCTCTGTCGGAGGGAGCCCCAGTCAGCAGACCCACGTCACATGTGTCAGTCTTCACAGAAGCGTCGCTGTCAGGTTGGGGCGGGGGGAGGGGGGGAGACATGCCTATCTCAAGCTGTAGGAGCGCTGTGGCCCCATCACACATCAGCCCACATAAATGTTTCGGAGTGTCGCATGGTTCTGAATGTGATTCAACACTTTGCTCCTGTGCTGCAGAATCAACACGTTTTGATTCACACACACAACAAGGTTACTGCTGTGTACATAAACCGGCAGGGGGGTGTGCGCTCAGCCAAGATGTTACACATTGCACAAAAACTACTGTGTTGGGCACACCAAAATCTGCCCCAACAGAGCAGTTTACATACCCGGTGTTCTGAACAAAGGGGCAGAGGTCATGTCAAGGGGCGGTCCACGTCACTGGACCCTCCATCCAGACCTGATGGCCCAGACGTAGCAGAAATTTGGCAAAGCAGCCGTGGACCTGTTTGCGACACGAGAAAACGCTCACTGTCAACTATGGTTTTCTCTGAGTCCGCAAGACAAACCACCGCTGGGGGTGGATGCGTTTGCTCACAGCCCATGGCCCAAAACGCTTCTTTACACGTTTCTATCACCTCTGATTTTACGGTTCTTGAACAGAATTCAAGAGGAGGGATTGACAGCTCTCCTGGTAGCCCCCGAGCGCAAGGTAGTGACAAGGGCCGTCAAGGGCAACAAGGAGCAAGAGTGTGATAACGTCTTTTTGAGTCTCTTAAATTCTGACACTGAAGAAGAGGTTTCAGTGCACAGAGGACGGAGAACAAAACAATGAGTGACTGATCGACCATTGGTGGTTTTTTTTTAGGTTTCTTTTGTCGTGTTAAAGCGGTCTCATCCAGTTGTTCAAGATGTGAGCTCAGCTGAGAAGAACTGCGCATATTTTAACAAAAGTTTTAAAATTATTTCTGTGTGACATCTTTCTGTGTACACTACATGTGTCTTTAAATACAGAGATCTACGTAATTTACACTCGCACCCGAACATTAAATGGAGCAGAGACAACAGGTGAGGCTGTTCGAAAACTTAAAACTTGATCAGTTAAATTGTAAACTGTCTGTTGCTGCTTATTGTTCTGGTTCTGACTGTTATTTTATTTATTAAGATTTTTATTATTGTTAGTATAGTTTATTTATTGTAAAGAGTGCGTTTTATTTAAAATATCATCCAAATGGGTCACTTTTATACAAACGTATTGTTTACTTGGCAAATTTTCAAAATAAACATTTTGTAAGTCTTCATTTTGGCCTTTTTTTAATACAAAAAAAACTTAACCAAACCGAGCCCTCCTTGAAACCGAACTGAAATGTTTTAGCGTACCGTTACACCCCTAATATGTACTGAACAAAACCGAATGCAAGCGCAACACAAGCGAGTTGTTGTAAAACTGGAATTTGCTCTGTATTAACTGAATTATAAGCAGCAGCCACTGCTAACGTATTACAGGGATGATGAGAGTGCATTTAGTTAGCACTGCTCAATGTCAAAATCTTCAAAATCACACTTTATATTGTTAAAGAACTGTAATGTTAGAATTTTTTCTAAACAAAATGGAACTTATTTCAGGATAAATTAAACATTTCTTAAGTTTACTTAAGGATCTGCAGCAAGTGTTTTGTTCAGTGACCGTGAACACCAACTTTAAGTCAACACGAGAGGAAGTCCGTGTCTGATGTGATGACTTTTTCTTCAAAAGTTCCTGACATGTTGCACAGAGGAATGGGCTAACAGGCAGGACAAACACACAACCTGAAAACTAACTAAAACCAGACCTAGACAGAAGGAACGATACCGTTTCTGGGAAGGAATCTGCGTTGCTGTGTTCTTCACCAATGGACGCGTCAGCGGCTTCGAGCAGAGCTGCAAATATAGAAAGTTAGGAACAGTTGCTTCATATCTGTGTTTTAAATCAAACATTTTAACTGTAGGATCCAAACAGCTAAATTACTTGCATCAGGACATCATAAACATGGAGACAATAAGAATAGAATTGTTTTACGATTGTTGTGTTGATATTTGAAGTAACTGATGTTATGGGTCTGTGTCACAGGTCTCTCTTCTAAATGAGACTACCTGTCAATTAATTACCTGCCTCAATAAAAGTAAATCAATAAAAGTAGGATGTGTATGAGGGGCGTCTTAATGTGGTCCAATAGTTTAATCTGACATTATGTTAACATACCTGACTGGGTTTTCTCTTCGCAGGCTGAGTCATCCTGAAACACATGAAAAGTTTCTGAAATAGGGCTTTGCAGTAATACAGTAAACAGTCAATCGGATGCACTGATTATTACTCAACTTCCATAAAAGTACCACACAAGCTTAGAGGACCAGCAACTATACCTTTGCAGATGTGGAAATCTCTCTCTGGCCCTCCTCCTTCTGTGCCATATCATCTACAGCTTCACAGTCCTGCTCAGTGGAAGTAACTGGCAAATAAATAATAATAATTTGATTAAATTGCCTTCAAATTTAGTAGAGCTCAACATTGACCAAATTATGAGGGCCTTAAAATAAGTATTTTATTGATCTCATATGTCAGCTGCACAATATGGAATTTGATAAATAAATATGTAGTGTGGGGTTCATGTAAATCTACAAACCGGATTCCAAAAAAGTGGGGACACTAAACAAATTGTGAATAAAAACTGATTGCAATGATGTGGAGGTGCCAACATCTAATATTTTATTCAGAATAGAACACAAATCACAGATCAAAAGTTTAAACTGAGAGCATGTATCATTTTAAGGGAAAAATCTGTTTCCAAATTTCATGGCGTCAACAAATCCCAAAAAAGTTGGGACAAGTCCATTTTTACCACTGTGTGGCATCCCCCTTTCTTCTTACAACGCTCAATAGACGTCTGGGGACAGAGGAGACCAGTTTCTCCAGTTTAGAAATAGGAATGCTCTCCCATTCATGTCTAATACAGGCCTCTAACTGTTCAATCGTCTTGGGCCTTCTTTGTCGCACCTTCCTCTTTATGATGCACCAAATGTTCTCTATAGGTGAAAGATCTGGACTGCAGGCTGGCCATTTCAGTACCCGGATCCTTCTCCTACGTAGCCATGATGTTGTGATTGCTGCAGAATGTGGTCTGGCATTATCGTGTTGAAAAATGCAGGGTCTTCCCTGAAAGAGATGACGTCTAGATGGGAGCATATGTTGTTCTAGAACCTGAACATAGTTCTCTGCATTAATGGTGCCTTTCCAGACATGCAAGCTGCACATGCCACAAGCGCTCATGCAACCCCATACCATCAGTGATGCAGGCTTCTGAACGGAGCGTTGGTAACAACTTGGGCTATCCTTGTCCTCTCTGGTCCGGATGACATGGCGTCCCAGTGTTCCATAAAGAACTTCAAATCGTGACTCATCTGACCACAGAACAGTCTTCCATTTTGCCACACTCCATTTTAAATGACCCCTGGCCCAGTGCAAACGTCTGAGCTTGTGGAGCTTGCTTAGAAATGGCTTAGAAATGGTCTTGAGGATCTACCTTCTGCATGACCAAGAGGGGTCAGTCACACCTACTGATGTAGGTATCGTTACTGAGGGCATTACTGTACTCAGCAACCTTGGAGATCTCAGCAGAGCCTGTTACTACCTGTTGGGACTAGCCTATACTCTGGACCTAAAATACCCGAATACTGAAATAGAATATCAGATATAGCTGTGAGGTCTTTCAAAAAGGGTTCCTGGAGCTGGATCTTGGAAACCTTTCTGTCAAGGCTCCGAAACTGAAAAATCAACTCTGTGGATCGTAGATGATGACATGTTACCAAAACCACCTGTGTGTAATCAAGTCTCCGTATAAATGCACCTGCTCTGTGATAGTCTCAGGGTTCTGTTCAAAGCGCAGAGAGCATCATGAAGACCAAGGAACACACCAGGCAGGTCCAAGATACTGTTGTGGAGAAGTTTAAAGCTGGATTTGGATACAAAAAGATTTCCCAAGCTTTAAACATCCCAAGGAACACTGTGCAAGCAATCATATTGAACTGGAAGGAGTATCAGACCACTGCAAATCTACCAAGACCCGGCCGTCCCTCTAAACTTTCATCTGGAACAAGGAGAAGACTGATCAGAGATGCAGCCAAGAGGCCCATGATCACTCTGGATGAACTGCAGAGATCTACAGCTGAGGTGGGAGAGTCTGTCCATAGGACAACAATCAGTCATACACTGCACAAATCTGGCCTTTATGGAAGAGTGGCAAGAAGAAAGCCATTTCTCAAAGATATCCAAAAAAAAGTGTTGTTTAAAGTTTGCCACAAGCACCTGGGAGACACACCAAACATGTGGAAGAAGGTGCTCTGCTCACATGAAACCAAAATCAAACTGTTTGGCCACAATGCAAAACGATATGTTTGGTGTAAAAGCAACACAGCTCATCACCCTGAACACACCATCCCCACTGTCAAACATGGTGGTGGCAGCATCATGGTTTAGGCCTGCTTTTTGTCAGCAGGGACAGGGAAGATGGTCAGAATTGATGGAAGATGGATGGGAACAAATACAGGACCATTCTGGAAGAAAATCAGTTTGAGTCTGCAAGAGACCTGAGACTGGGACGGAGATTTCCCCCCCACCCCCACCCCCAACGACCACGGACTTACATTTGACTGCTGAAAATGTTTTAAAGGGATAACTGGAAAATATCTTACTTAACTCTGGAGAGAACACTGTCTTATTTTATTTCACTTTTCAACTGCCATTTTGTTTTGCAGCTGGAGGTCTCTCTCTTCAGTTCTTTTTCTTTTGTATAATTGACAATGTTATCACTTGTGACTCTCACCCTAGCCATCATGTCTGCAGGGCTTAATTTGGAGAACAATTCAAGTATTCAAATTGAAATGCCCTCCCCCCCACTGACTTCTCATGATTCAGGTACAATCTCTTGGACGACCATGGATCTCACAAACTGGGTCCTCATGACTTTTCTTCCCAAAACAACAACTCCCACTGATTTGAGAGCTTGGTGTGTCCTTGTAATTAAAAACTACTTCATCCTCACTGAAACTGAACTCCATGATGACATGAGATGGAAAACTGTCACTGCTAGACCACCTACTACTGTTAAATGGAAAACTTTAATTGTTTTGTTACTTCTTCTTTCTGGGATTGAACCAAACCCTGGCCCGCCGCTGCTACATGACATTTGTACACCCGTTGAATATAAAAACCGGTCTGGGCTGGGTTTTCTACATTTAAATGTCAGAAGTCTTATATCTAAACTAGATGCAATAAAAATCTGGGTTCAGTCCACAGAAGCAGACATAATAGTCTTATCTGAAACATGGCTCAACAAAGCTATCTCTGACAAACAAATCTCCATTCCTGGTTATAACATTTTTAGATGTGATCGCCCCAAAAGAGGTGGTGGAGTGGCTATTTATATCAAGAACAAATTCACAACAAAATTTCTGTCTTCTTGCTCAATTAGCAAACAACTTGAGCTACTGGCACTAATACTAGACTTCCCTGACGGTCAATCAATCACTGTGGTGGGTTGTTACAGGCCCCCCTCAGCCTCAAGTGACGCCCTCACTTCCCTAAGAAACTTTCTGACGGGGCTAAATGCTAAGGAACTACTGTTAATTGGTGATCTAAACCTAGACTGGTTGACCTCTACATTTGACAATCCTAAATCCATCTGTGAATCATTAAATCTAACTCAACTAATTCAAACATCAACACGCCCAAATAACAAAACCCCTGAAAAATCCACCCTACTGGACCTTATCCTAACAAACATGCCTCACAAGTACACAAATACATGTGTTTTCGCTAATGACCTTAGTGATCACTGCACCATTGCAGCCGTAAGAAACGGAAAATTACCAAAATTAAAACCCACCATTATTTTCAAAAGGGATTTAAAACATTTCTGTGAGCAGGCCTTTTTTCATGACTTAGCCACTTTTGATTGGAATAAAATTTCATTGATAGATGACGTAGCACATGCACTGGCTTACTTCAACGAGGGTTTTCAAAACATAATCAACACACATGCTCCATATCGTAGATACAGAATAAAGGGGCGTAAAAATCCTTGGTTTTCCACTGAGATAGGAAATCTGCTCAAAGAAAGAGATACTACCTGGGCTAAGGCCAGAAAATCAAAAACTGAACATGACGGGCTCAGCTTCCGACAACTTAGGAACAAATGCACAACCCTAATTAGAAATGCAAAATCAAATTACTACCTGGACGCATCCACAAAAAATCTAAATGATCCAAAAAGGTTTTGGCAAACAGTAAAATCAAATTCTGGTCAGACAACAACCACTGATTTACCCAGCTCCATTATGACCAGCTCAGGTATTCTGTCAGACAAATTATCAATTCTAAACTGTTTTAATGAACACTTTATATCCTCTGGCTCCCTGTTCAAATCTATGCATCCTGAAATGTTATCTGCTGACCAAACTGATGAAAATCCACCCCCAACTCCGCATGTGCTAGACAAACAGGTCACAAACCGCTTTGACTTTGTATCAATATCTCCCAGTGAGGGTCTAAATGCTCTAAAAACTCTTGACACACGCAAAGCAGCAGGACCTGACAACATAGAACCACTTTTCCTAAAACTAGCTGCAGATTTCATTGCTGAACCACTTTCATGTATTTTCAACCTCAGTCTAAATACAAATACAATACCCAAAATCTGGAAATCGGCTTATGTTCTCCCTCTGCTAAAAGGGGGTGAACCAACTAATGTCAACAACTACAGACCAATTTCTAAATTATGTATTCTTGCTAAACTGTTCGAAAGACTTGTCTGTGATCAGCTAACTGTTTTTCTACAATCAAATAACATTTTATCACAATTCCAGTCAGGATTCAGAAAACAGCACAGTACCGTAACTACAGTTCTCAAAGTATTAAATGATATCATACATGCCCTGGACTGCAAACAATACTGTGTTGCCCTATTTATAGATCTATCCAAGGCATTTGATACAGTTGATCACAGACTATTGACTAACATCCTGAAACACTCTGGTCTATCAAAACTAGCAGTCTCCTGGTTCACCAACTATCTAACTGACAGAACACAGTCTGTCCATGTAGCCGGATCCTCCTCTACTTTCCTAGATGTTGTGAAAGGGGTGCCACAGGGTTCTGTCTTGGGTCCCATTCTTTTCTCCTTATATATCAACGATCTATGCAGTGATCTGTCAAACGCCTCCCACCATTATTATGCAGATGACACTATCATCTATTGCTGTTCATCCTCCCTCAGCCAAGCCTTCACCTTATTTCAAGATGCTTTTAATATTATCCAGTCAAGTCTGCAAAAACTTGGACTGGTCCTAAATGCTGACAAAAGCAAGATCATGGTTTTATCCAACAGAAAGCAGCAACCAGAGAACCCACCTCAAATTGAAACCCAAGAGGGAAAACAAATAGAAATGGTCTCCA